TCACGCTGTTATTTTTTAATTTCCAGCAGGTTTTAAGTAAAAAAAAAAAAAAAAGCAAGAACATGGAGGTGAGATCCTTTCTTTTATTGAACAGCTTGCCATTTTGTGAAACTGCTTCTCCCCTGCAGGAGAATTCGGTTGGCCCAGGGTCCGCCTTCCCAAAATTATTTGTTGTTTGTGGTTGTTTTTTCTAGATGCAATAGGAAAAATCCAAAGGCGTTTTTGTTCCTTTTCCTAAAGTTTTGCCGACATCCAGTTTGTTCTTTGGCTTTGCAGCTTGGGGAGACGTGCAGAATAAACGATGCGGACAATCCCTGGTTGTCTTGGGAATCTGGGGTTTTTAAAGGAGTTGTGCAGCCCTGAGTCCAAAATATTAAAATAAATATGAATGTGTAGCGGGAAAGACCTGGGAGATACGTGCGTGAATGCAGCACTGCAGAAATACAGTATTGCTCCGGCTTTGTGCCCAAAATACACAGTACAGTAACCCATGTGTACTTTGAAAGGAAGCACCTCCTTTTTTTAGAAATGGGACGTCCTGTTTCAACCTCACTCGTCTCCTAACTTATTTTTAGCTCAAGCCCACCTCTCAGGTCCTGTCTGATTAAGTCTCTTTTCTTAGCCCAAAGTCTGCAAGATCTCACTGGAGTGTGTAACGTCCAGTTTTGGTCACCACATCACAAAAAAGATGTTGAGACTTTGGGAGAAAGTGCAGAGAAGAGCAGCTAAGATAATTAAAGGCCCGGAGATTAAAACATATGAAGAACGGGTGCAGGATTTGGGACTGGGCAGTCTAGAGAAAAGAAGGACTGGGGGGGGCATGAATACAGGATTCTAGTATTGGAGGGGCTGCCACAAAGAGGAGGGGGGGGTCAACTTATTCTCCAAAGCAGAAGAAAGCAGGACAAGAAACAATGGGTGGAAACTAAGCAAGGAGAGAAGCAACCTAGAACTAAAGAGAAACTTCCTAATACAACAATTAATCAGTGGAACAGCTTGCCACCAGAAGCTGTGGGTGCTCCATCACTGGAGGTTTTAAAGAAGAGATTGGGCAATTATTTGTCTGAAAGAGGGTCTCCTGCTGGAGCAAGGGGCTGGACTAGAAGACCTCCAAGGTCCCTTCCAGCTCAATTCTGAGTCTAATATTATAAATTTATCTGTATTTGCGTTCTGCAAACCTAGAGACGTTTGCAAAAAATATTTGACCAAGTGGGATCCGATGATCATCTACTTGTGTTTGTGTGTGGAGGGGTTGTGTGTGTCATGGGTGTGACTCTGAGAGGCAAAACATCCATTTCAGGTTTCCTGGTGTTCAGACAATCCTCGGCTAGCAACGGTTCATTTAGTGACCGTTTGAAGTTACAGCAGCACTGAAAAAAGTGACTTATGACCGTGGTTCACATTTAATCTGTGCAGCCTCCCCGTGGTCACGTGATCAAAATTCTGCCGCTTTACAGCTGACTCGTAGTTATGACGGTTGCAGCGTTCCCCGGGATCCTGTTATTTCCCCTTTTGCGACCTTCCGACCAGCAATGGGGGAGCCAGATTCACTGAACAACTATGTTACTGACTTAACAACTGCAGTGATTCACAACCAGTGTGGCGAGAAGGGTCGTACAAAATGGGGCACAATTCCCTTCGCGCACGTTTCGCTTAGCAACATAAATTGCCAGCTGTGGTTGTAAAGTTGAGGATTCCCTGTACCTTTGAAAGCCAAACCGCTCCCACACCTGTGTCGTTCCCTGTGTGCCCGGCTGGAAATCAATACAAATCCTGTTTGCGCTTGCAAAAGTTACGACATTTGAAAAGCAGGAAGCGCAGACGAGCTCCCGATACGGGTCCGAACAGGCAGATCTTGTTCCAGGGGAAATAAATAAAAATAAAAATAAAAAAAGGAGGTAGCTGGTCCATCTGGATTGCAGTCTGGGTATATGCCAAGGAGGCCGGGTTGTTGCTTTCTGAGGTGTGTTTTGTACGCCTTGTGTTGTTGCGTCCCTCGATCTCCCCAGGTGTTTCGTACACGTTCGCCGCACAGATGGTGCGAAAGGTTTTGCGCACAGAGGCATTAGGAGGTTTTTTTCAGGCACGGTACGGTGTCCCCAAGTGAACCAGCTCTGCTTTCGAAAGAAAGGCAATTTTACGACACCTTTGTTAACGTTTTCCTGCCACTTTTAGCCCTGGTTAGAGTCTGGATTTGATTGTTTTCAAGCATCAACTTTCTCGGTGCCACCAAGTCCTTGGAAACATCTACGGAGATTGTCCGTCCTCCAGGTCCGTGGTTGTCTCAAAGGTGCTTTTTTTTTCCAAGAGGCAACTGGATTTTCTTAGTTTTTTCCTTTGAAGACGTTTCGCTTCTCATCCCAGAAGCTTCTTCAACTCTTGCTGAATGGTGAGAAATGGAAGGATTTATACTCCTTGCAGACAGCAGGTCATTTGCACTTCTTCCGAGAGTCTTTGAGGCCACTGGGAGCTTATCAATCCTTCCATTCCTCACCATCCAGTCAGAGCTGAAGAAGCTTCTTGGAGGAGAAGCGAAACGTCTTCAGAGAAAAACCAAGAAAGTCCTGAAGAACTGAAGAAGCTTCTGGGATGAGAAGCGAAATGTCTTCAAGGGGGAAAAAAAGTCCAGTTGCCTCCTGAAAAAACCATCTTTGCGTTCCTAGAAATGTTTCCCAACTCTGTGGGGAGCGTGGAGAAAGGAATCCGGGGTTATCTGGAAAAATTACACCTTCTTTGCAAAGGACATAACTTCCAGGATCCCGTCTCCGATCCATAGAGCTTTTTCTGGATCCCGGGAAAGAAAGATGCAATCCCTGTAGAAATAATTTCAGAAGCAGGTTGTTTAGTTCCGAGCTACCTTGTCCAAGGAGAAGATGGGAGGGCTTTGAGTCTACACCGCCGAAAGGAACTTGGACTTGAGTCACGTTATCGAATTTTATTGTTTTATTCAAGGTTCTCCCTTCTCGGCCTTCAGCATAGAGGGTGTGTGTGAGGTTGTAACTTTTCCTCAGCTGGTATCTCCTTGGGAGAATTCCAGATTGCTGGTCTGCAAAACCCTTAAGCTCGTTTCTGCTGTGAGAGGCGAGCCATCCAGAAAGGTGCAATGCTACACAGGTTGTGTTTCATTCCTGAGGTTTAGCTCCTGTGTTTTACGTGGGAAATTTCTTATTTTGGCTCCCCTGTGTGGTAGAATACTTTGAGGAAATCTCCCTCTATTCCTTCCTTCCTTCCTTCCTTCCTTCCTTCCTTCCTTCCTTCCTTCCTTCCTCTCATCTCTTTCCCCTCCCTCCCTCCTTCCAGCCATCTCTTTCCCCTTCCATCCATCCATCCATCCATCCATCTCTTTTCTCTCCCTCCCTCCGTCCTTGCACCCACCCACCCATCCATCCACCCATCCATCTTTTTCCTTCCTTCCTTCCTTCCTTCCTTCCTTCCTTCCTTCCTTCCTTCCTTCCTTCCTTCCTTCCTTCCTTCTTTCNTGTAATTGCATAAAGCTTTAAAACAGGTTTAGGATTAATAGCAATTTAAGTTAGAAATAGACTATTTTAAAGTATATAAGCTATTTGAGGGAAATAGAGAGGGAATACTTGTTGTACTGATTGAGTTAATTATATAGCTTTTGTTTGTGCATTTTTGATTACCCCAGCACCACGGTGTGTCTCAAGCACTTTGTATTAAGATCTAAAAAACCAATAAAATTGGTTTTAAAAAAAAATTCAGTTCCAGGTTCATCCTTTAACTCGTTTCCTGGGCGTGCGCGAAGCCTGGTGCATTTTACCCTAGATGTTTGTAAAGGGGTTGTGTTTGCTTAAGAGAGGGAAGCAAGGCCCTCTTCACCCCCCCCCCCCCGGGGTTGCAACATTCATAGAGACAGGATGACGGACGGACTCCGGATAGTAATGTCTAACAGGGCTGGACGGCGCATGTCTCGCCCTCCAGCAATGGAGCCGCCGAAAATTCGCCCGGAAGGATCCCGTAATAAGCAGATTTTTTCTCCTAGCGCTTGGTCTTGTCCTGAAAAGACCAGCCTGTGCAAAACAAAACTTGAACCCCAGGCCCACCTCTTCCTATTTCAGGTGTCTTTTTTTGGGATGGGTGTGTGTGTGTGTGTGTGATCAGGGAAACTTTTGAGAGATTCTCAAGGGGAGGATTTGGGCAGCCAGAATTGGGACCAGCTCTGTCTGTTCCTTTCCCCCCAATGGAAGGAGCGAAAAACCTAACCGCCTCGATGTCCACCTGCTTGCAATTCCAGGATGCCATCCGCACGCTGAACACCCTCCAGACCAACGCCAGCTACCTGGAGCAGGTGAAGAAAGAAAGGGGAGACCCCCAGCTGCAGTTGCAAGCCATGGCTGGGTTCCTGGAACGTACCGGTCTGAAGGTAAATGACTTTTTTGTTCTTTTTGCCTTTGGGGCAGGGGCTTCCCTCACTCCTATGATGGGCAAGTGGGGTTGCCCATCATAGAATCCTGTTTTTGAGGTTCTTGTGCTTTGGGGGGGGGACAAAGAGCGGAGAGAGGGTGCGCTCTACCCTTCCTGGATTCCTGGTAGGGGGTAATGACACTGAAAGCGAAAACTGACCAGGGTTTTTTGTCCGGCAGGTCGAAGACCTGAATCAACTCAACGTCATTCATGTGACTGGGACAAAGGGCAAGGTAAGGCGGGGGAACTGGAGGGAACAGGGTGGAAGACTTCCTAAATTTTATCAGCAATGAGCAATGACAAATATGACATCTGCGGTAACCTTGTTACCACTATGGACATGACGGTGTTTCGAATAAATAAAACAAGAGAAGGAGAAAAAAAGAGGGAGGGAGGGAGGGAGGGAGGAAGATGAGGGAGAGAAGGAAGACGAAGAAAAGGAAGAAGAAGGAAGGAAGGAAGACGAAGGAAGGAAGATGGAGAGAAGGAAGGAAGACAAGGAAGAAAGGAAGATGAGGGAGAGAAGGAAGGAAGGGAAGGAAGACGAGGGAAAGAAGGAAGGAAGACGGGGGAGAAAAGGAAGAAGAAGGAAGGAAGGAAGACGAAGGAAGGAAGATGAGGGAGAGAAGGAAGGAAGAAGAGGATGAGGGAAAGAAGGAAGGAAGATGAGGGAGAAAAGGAAGGAAGACGGAGAAAAGGAACGAAGGAGAGAAGGAAGGAAGGAAGATGAAGGAGAGAAGGAAGAAAGGAAGACGAGAGAAGGAAAGAAGATGGAGGAAGGAAGGAAGATGAGGGAGAGAAGGAAGGAAGGAAGACGAAGGAGAAAAGGAAGGAAGATGAAGGAAGGAAAGGAAGACGAGGGAAAGAAGGAAGGAAGATGAGGGAGAAAAGGAAGGAAGACGGAGAAAAGGAAGGAAGGAGAGAAGGAAGGAAGATGAAGGAGAGAAGGAAGAAAGGAAGATGAGAGAGAGAAGGAAGGAAGATGGAGGGAGGAAGGAAGATTAGGGAGAGAAGGAAGGAAGGAGAGAAGGAAGGAAAGGAAAGAAAGGACAATTCAGTCCTTACAATTATTAAATCTGGACCTTTGGGAGATCTACTGCTCCAGTGGCCCGTTTTTAACATCAGAAGACGCTTGCAAAACTGACGGGGAACAATTCTCCAATCTATTCCTTGACACCCAAAGTTTGCACTTCTTTCTGTCCACGTGAGATATCTGGAAGGGACAACAACATCTGGCAGAAAACCATGGAGAAGGTGATTGGGAAGAGACCACAAGCCATTTTTAAAATGAACTCGGAGTACGAAGTGAAGGGGTCGGCAACCTACGCCCCTCGAGGGCCCTTCAAGCCCCTCGGCCCAATTTTCAGGATTCTTGTTAGCCTTTGATTCAGCTGTGAAGGGAAAAAAAAAACAGGTTGGCCAGGGTGGTGAGCAGCCTGGACTCCTTCCTGGTTGGAGTGGGGGGGCTGATATTTTGTCCCCTTTTTAACCCACCAGGGTTCTGCCTGCGCCTTCACGGAGCGGATTCTGCGCAACTACAATTTAAAGACCGGTTTTTACAGGTAAATGTCCTAGTGGGCTGCTTGGGGCGTGGATTGTCTTCTGTGCCAGCTGGAAAATTAGCTAGAAATTGAGTGTATTGAGAGTATTTCTTCTTTCTTTTGCCACAGTCATTCTCCTTCTATTTGCAGGTCTTTGCTCTCCTCCTCCTCCTCCCTCCCTCCCTCCCTCCCTCCCTTCTTCCTCCTTCAGCTTCTTCTCTTTCCTCCCCCTCCCCTCCTCCTCCTCCTTCTCCTTCCTTTCTTCCTTCCTTCCTTCTTCCTCCTTCAGCTTCTTCTCTTTCCTCCCCCTCCCCTCCTCCTCCTTCTCCTTCCTTCCTTCCTTCCTTCCTTCCTTCTTCCTCCTTCAGCTTCTTCTCTTTCCTCCCCCTCCCCTCCTCCTCCTTCTCCTTCCTTCCTTCCTTCCTTCTTCCAGTCATTTTGTTTAGCTTGAAGGTTTCTGCTGCTTATCTCTTATTTATAAAACATCTTTCTCTCTTGCCTTACTAGCTGAAACCCTTTGACACAC